ATGTCTGTTCCCAACTTTGAATTTTCAATACTATCAATATTATATATTTATATCTTTATAACAGAAACGTTTATGTGTCTTTTCTTGCCACCAATCGATTCTGTGCAAATTACTTATCCAAACTTCTCTTTTTCTGCAAAAGCACTCTCATCCTCCAGGTGGGAAGTTGCAATGAAGTCATTTATCTTATGACTTTGTTAAGATTATTTGATATGGGGAATTCCCTTAAAATTAAATTTGCAATATATCAGGGGGGTTGGTATACCTGCTCCATACACAATTTATATGGAGTCCTGGATCTCATTAGGATAGGTACAGTTATTCAATCTTTTTAGCAATAAAATTGGATCTTCATATGAAGACATGTAGATGTATGTACTAATTGAAATATACATTAATGAGAAGCACAGTTGAATGCACACTAATGTGATAATCAATAGGACTAGGAGAGATTTAAGAATTCATCTTTATCATGTTATCCTTATGCCATTTGACACAGTTCATCTGCCTTACAGCAAAAAAAGTACCATCTAATAGATTACCAGTCCTCTTCGTCTATAACATTAAATGTTTGTCCATCACCATTTTCCTAGTTTTCTGACTGCCATTGAGTACATTCTGAACCATTTGCAGCCCTTTAAGACAGACTGTTACTACTCCTGTATGTTAGTAAGCCTCTGTGTTACCTTAATTGTTATTCTCTATTTTACTTTTTTGGGTTCTAGTATCCATTGCAATGGCCAAACAGAATGCAAAGACATAATTCATTATTAAGGAAGTTGACAGGTTTCAATGCCAGTGGAAATGCTCAGCATTGAGTTGTTAACCAGGACATTTTATAAACTGTTTCAAGGTCCACTAATAAATGTCCAAAAGGGTATCCGACTCTGCTACAAGCCTCAACCCAACGGCATTCAGCTCAAATTCTGTGGGTCAGCAATCCAGCTCCCTGAATGAACTGACCAGACACCCCACTCCAGTAAGCTTCAGTCCAAAGGCACTTAGTTCCACTGCTGTGGGTCAGTAAGCCCAACTCCCCTGATTGAGAGCACCCTATCTTGCAAGCCAGCCTCCTGAACAAATACATTCAGATTCGCTTGCTGCATGGGTTGGGGAATCCATCACTCAGTTCCATGCTCTGGCTCCTAGTTCTGCTGCTGCTCCTCTGGTGTTAAAGCGGACTTCTGTATCCAGGAAGTTCACTGGACAGGAATCTCCGATCCAGATGATGGGCTCCATACTGGCTATTGCTGGTAATGAGATAAATCCTGCTTCTCAGAGGAATCATTTTATACACAGCAGGATGGCATTCCTGGGAATCCTGTTCACAATTCCTCACAGGTGAATCTCATCAATATCCCCCCCCACCACCCTTTCTAACCAGACCTTTAGAATAAGGTCGTTTGGTGGACGTTAGAGGCTTTGATTAGAAGGGCTGCATTAAATAATCAACTGCTGCTGCAGTCTTAGATTTCTGAGGAGTGACTGGTGGTTTTGAACTGATGATTGTGTAGTTAGCAGTCCAATGTGTAACCAGCTATGCTACCAGTTCTCTTAGTTTGGATCTCTCTGATCTTCTGGGGCAACAAACTCCCTTCCTTTGCACCTTCTACTTTGAGCAGGTATCACTCACAGTACCCTACTAAGATAAGTCAAAAGCCTTGCTAGGTCTGAAGCTTATGCATGCATGGATTTATCCAATGCAAAAAAGTGTTTGAAGATGGCTCTGAGCTCAGTGGATGGCTGAAGTTAGATTATCTCAATAATACACTTGCTTAGTTTCCTCATGCCTTCAAAATAGTCAATATTTTTTGTCAAAGAAAAAATATTTTGATATCAAGGCTAAATTAATATGTAACAAGTGTACATATTCAAAAATCATTGTAGCTTTGCAACAGTTTATGGGATTACTAGGCTATATAAAACAACAGTTTTTGGGTGGACTAAGTATTTTAAGGAAGATTGAGAAGACTTGATTGAGCAGATTGAGAAGTTGGGATCTGTCTTTCGTCAATGTTTTAAAGCTGAGCTAACATTTTAGCTTCAGGAAGGTTTTGGCTGGATAGTTACCAAAATCTTTTCATGAAGATGATCCAGCGCAAAGAGCTAATCTTTCCATCAGTCCTTTAAGCAAGTTCAAAGCTTATGAAGATAAGTCTGTGAAATTAATTGTAATGATTGCTACGTCTTGAATTTACAAATCTGATACAGAGAGCAATGTCCAATTCAAAAGAGTGGCTTCCAAAGGGATATCTGCTTGGTCAGTGAAATGCAAAGCAGGAAGACCAGCTCAGAAGGTTATGGCAGTGTTTTTTTTTTAGGATTCCAAACGTGTAACCTTGATTTATTTTCTTGACAACACAGGATGATCATTGGGGCTAATTATAAAGAAGTTTTAAGAATATTGAAAATACCGATTGCTAGGAAAGGACCAGGAAAGTTGCACTGCAGGTTTTTTTCCATAATGATAATGTACTTGCTCATTCTTGTCAAGTCTCAGGGTATGGCATATGAGAATGTCGTTGGGAAACCTTACCTCTTCTACCCTATATCCCTGATTATTACCCTTCATATTTCTTTGTGTTTTCAAAACTCAAAGAAACCCAAACTGCCATTTTAACATGATATTAATCAAAGAGTATAACATTTTGTGGGTTGATTTAATGATATGAAAATACCACCATCATAAAGATTTAGACCTAGTAGGAAGATAGTTTCTCATTGTTTTTTTGTTTGTTTGTTTAATAAAGATTTCTATGATTTTGTCTTAATACTTACTCATGCATACTTTAAAGCCATCAATTTTTAAATTCTAGTGAATGATTTTCATGTAGTTCACAGAGATAGGACCTCCAATCACTTTCCTCCAATGTTGTCATCATTCTGAGGTTAATGGGAAGTAGCTGTAATGACTCAGGATATTGGTCTTCGATCAGGACAGTTCTTGTGTGTGTCCATAGACAGGCCTCTGCTGGGTTCTGGCTGCTGCCTTGCTTTGGCAAGTGTTACAGCTCTTTAGTTTTAAAACACGTGCAGAAATGTGTTACTCCCCTAGGAAACCTGAAGGTACTTTGTGGTCTAGCCCAGGGATTGGGGACTCAGGGCAGCTGTCTGCAGGTTCTGTGTCACTGCTGTCTGTGCTGCTGCTGTGCGTGCCATGGCCATCTTTGCCATGGCAACCTCCTGTGTGACTACGCTCTTTACTGTTACAGCTCTCCAGTGTACAACTCTCAGTCTCCTGGATCCAGGCAGTCTCATCACAGGGACCCGAAGGGCATTCTCTGTGCTGTCTCTTTTGTTGATGGTAGTGAGGTCTGCCCTCCTGAAACCCGTGACTTTGGCTGTTTTTTTAAAATCTGGTCTAAACTCACTACCATCAAGCTAATTGTATCCCGTAATAACTCTGCAGGACAAGGTTGAATTTCCTTTGTGGGTTTCTAAGACTGTAACGCTTTACAGGAGTAGAAAGCCGTGTCTTTCTACACAGAGAAGCAGGCAGTTTTGAACTGCTGAATTTGTGTTTAAGGTACCAACATGTAAACACTACAGCACTAGGGCTCATGTATCTTATTTGTATAACTATTTTTTTTCTAACCAACTCAACAATTGCATGCATTTAGCCTATGAACCTGGAAACAATACTATCAGTCACTAGTTTTCCAACATACCCAACACTTTATTTGTGTGTAATTTTGTTAATATATAATTTCTGTATGAACAGTTTATTTTTCAAGTTAAAAACTATCTCTGTGTTAAACAATGTTCAAGTGCTATATTTTTCATGTCAGCTCAGCCCTATACTTTGAGAATTATGCATACTGTGCAAGTTATTAAGTATAGTTAACAATATAACTTCTTTTATTTCAAACACACACACACACACACACACACACACACACACACACACACACACAGCCCTGGCTGTGTAGTGGTTAAGCATTGGACTGCAATCTGCCTGGTTGGCAGTTCAAAACCACCAGCAGTTCCTCAGGAGAAAGACTGGGCTTTCTACTATAAACAGTTATAGTCTCTGAAACCAAGAATAGGTCACTATGAGTCAGCATTGATGCCCTGGCAGTGAGATTTGGGGGTTTGGGTTTTTTTTTTGTATTTATACATCTTGCAAGTACCTTAAGAACAAGAACTACACTTTTGTTTTCTATATATCTTACATAATAAATAGCAATTCTCTATCAAATGGAAAGATTTGATAAATATTTCTATTGTACTTGAAATGAACTGTATCTATGTTGGCTAACTATTTGGGGGATTGTTTGGGGAAAGAATGGGATACATGGCTTTAATTTGTAAGATATTGGCAAAGACACTTGTATATCCTTCCTAAGTTTTTTTTCCTTTAGCTGATTTCACAAAAAGTAGTTGAAAAGTTTGATTTTTATTTAGGAAAATAAGTTGTCATAAATTTTTTAATTAAATTTACTTTAAATGGTAATTTGCAAGATCAGCAGTTTGCCTCTATCAGCAAATTGGCTTTGTGTGGGGGAGAAAGGTGAGGCTTTTTGCTCCCATAATGATTGATTGCAGCCTGGGGAACCCCAAGGAGCAGTCAAGAGCCTGACCCATATGGTCGCTATGATTCAAAATTGACTCAGTGGGAGCGGCTTACTTGCATAGTTCTCTTTCATTTTTTGGATGTACTTTGAAATGCGGAAATGCAAACTATACACATTTTCCTAAATAACACAAACCCGGAGAAATCTCCAAATATTATTTTAACACTGTACTTTCTTTTCATTTTAATAGTCGCCTTAAGACATAGTAACTTTATCCAATGCATATAGTGCATAGAGTCAGCACATATTGAAAAAAGATTTGCAATTGTTTTCAAACTTAGATGGTTTTCTAATGATAATTTAAAAATATGCATATGTTCATGTTTAAATATTATTAAACATTTAAACATTTTGTTATGGTAAATAAGTATGTAACATTTTTTCTTGAAAGATACACTAATTTGCTCCCTCTCGTTGCTCTCTAAGGGCTTCAGGTTCTCCTCCCAGACTATCTACAGGAGCGTTTTGTGCAAGCAGCTCTAAGCTACATTGCTTGTAATTCGGAAGGAGAGTTTATCTGCAAGGACAATGATTGCTGGTGTCACTGTGGCCCCAGATTTCCAGAATGCAACTGCCCCTCCATGGATATTCAAGCCATGGAAGAAAATCTTCTTCGAATAACTGAAACTTGGAAAGCTTATAACAGTGACTTTGAAGATTCAGGTAAGACATTTAAGTTTTGACTTGTATTGGAAAAACTGTTTTACTTTCGTGGGGAAGCAAACAAACAATGTTTTCCATTGCATCATTTACATTTTAAATCAGCCTTCACATTTTTTCATTATTACTGGTTATTCAGTACTTTACTCTGTGCATATATGGTGCTTTCTTTATTTTGGGGTGCTTAAGGCATTAGAATATGGGCTGCTTTTGAGCATTTATATTAATCATTTATATAAAAAGATTGTGCTTTTTTAATACAAGCACCATGTGAGACCATCTGAGACCTCTGAAATATTCAAACACTTCCACATCTTTATCCTTTAGAGGCTTGGTAAATTCAAACCATACATTTAGATTCACAGCCAATGCTTTGACTGCTGTGCCACCAAGAATCCTTAAATGATAGTTAATAATAGTTTTCAATTTTAGTAATTTATATAGATATATAAATTACTAAATTTATATTATATTATATATATATATATATATTGGGAAAACATGTCTAGAATCAGAAGCTCTATCACTTTGCCATTGTTAGAAAACCTCATTAATTTTTATTCTTAGGCTCTTCTGTTAGATATTTCCCAATTAAATACTCAGAAATTATGTATTAACTGTTAATATTAAATCATCTGACATGTGCTGTTCATAAAGAACCATCTGTTACTTAAAAATACCATGGAATATTGTATTTTAGACAAATATCAAAGTTTTGTAATTTTCTCAGCCTAACTTAAACAAGCCAATATCACAATGTGTGATCAGTTATATCAATGAATCCTGATTCCTAATTTGGGGGACTTACTTAAATAGGCTGTTGTTCTATTTTTCCAAGAAAAAAATCACCTGAAAGGACATCTGGGACTTTGTTTCCAGGAAGGATTAATTCAGTGGCAAAACACATGATGAACAGTTAGAAGAATATATATTCATTGTGAATATATATTCTTGTGAACACACACACACACACACACGCGCGCGCGCGCGAAAATTTATAAGATGAAGTCTTGCCATCCTTGCCTCTAAAGAGCACTCTGGCCTTATTTCTTCCAATATAGATCAGTTTATCCTTTTAGCAGTTCATGGTACTTTCAATATTCTTCTCTAGCACCAACATCGAAATGCATCCATTCTTCTATGGCAGTCTTTATTGAATGTCCAACATTCACCTGCATATGATGCAATGGAGAATACCATGGCTTGGATCAGGTATACTTTGTTCTTCAAAGTAAAAATCTTTGGTCTTCAATGCTCTAAAGAAGTCTTCTGCAGCAGATTTATCTAATACAAAGTGTCTTTTGATCTCTTGATTGCTGCTGCTTCCATAAACATTGATTGTATCCAAGCAAGTCAAAATTCTTGACAACTTCTAAAATTCCTCCATTTATCATGATGTTACCTATTGGTCCAGATGTGAGGATTTTGATATCCTTTTATTGAACTATAATCCATACTGAAGGCTTGATATTCATCAGCAAGTGTGAGATAGTTAAAGTTTATTGTGCCAACCTAGCCAATAAATACATGTGGGGTTAATTGAAGGACAGAGAGATAAATGACTTGGTGAGCCTTGCCTTTCTAGTTCTTGGATCTCTTGCTTTCTGATGGTCAGACCAGGGTGCAGCTGCCTTACTCTGTTCCCTGCATCAGCTGGCAAGGATCACTTCCTGCAAGACATCCCCAGGAGAAGCCGTATGGACCTACCCTGATGCAGCCCTGGGTGCTGGAGCAGCCGGTGGAGACCCCTGCTAGCGCTGAGATGCTTACATGTTCACTGATTCAGCTTTCCTCCTGCAGTCGGCATCATAGTGTGTGTTTTGTGAGATGGAGGAGGACTTTGTGGATTGGTGTCGGACATATAGGCTAATGTTGGACTTGTGGGCTTGGGCAGCACTGGGTTGGGATGTTTTCTTGATGTGCACTTAACCTTTATATAAAACTCTCTCTTATACATGAGTTTCTATGGATTTGTTTCCCTAAAGTACCCAGCCTGACACAAAATACTTTCAAGTTCTCCTCACTTTCAGCAAGCAAAGTTGTGTCATATGCACACTGCAGGTTGTTAATAAGTCTTTCTCCAATCCTGATGCCACACTCTTCTTCATATAATCCAACTTCGCGGGTGATTTGCTCAGCATACAGTTTGCACAAGTATGGTGAGAGGATACAGTCCTGAAAAATGCCTTTCCTGATTTTAAACCATGCAGTATTACTTCATTCTGTTTGCACCACTGCCCCTTAATCCATGCACAAGTTCCAAACATGCACAATGAAGTGTTCTGGATCCCCAATCTTCTCAAGGTTATCCACTATTTATTATGGTGCACACAGTCAAAAGTGCCTTTGTATTGTCAATGAAACACAAACAAACATCTTTCTGGTATATGCTGCTGTTAGCTATATACATATACAATACACATATAATTTATATAGCACGCAAATGTACACACATGAATGTGTATGTATATATGTGTATACATATATATACATCGCAATATATATGATTTTAAAAAGATATTTAAAGCATGGAAGTAACAAAATGCAAATGGACCATATATCCTGGTAGAAGATTCTGCTGGGGATTGGGGAAATCTGTAATTTTAGTGGCTTTTTGTTTCTGTAGCCAATTGCCAAAAGTAGGTTTGCTGGGCACGGTCATGTGTCTAGTCAGAGGATGGTTGGTAAAGGAAAAATAATCCAGCCACATATTTAATGGTTGAACTGTCTGGTGATGTACAACCTTTAAACTCAATAAATCTATACAAGATTTTTCTAACACACCTAATATACTGAATTTTAAGTTGTGCTGAATTCTAAAGCAGTAGGTCAAAACATTTTGAAAGTGCAATGAAGCTTATCACATATTTTCCATGCTTAGGAAATAAACATCCACCAGGGGGAGAGACTTTAAACAAAACAGGAAGGTGTGAAGAACCCCAGAGGGAATGAAGAATTAACATTATATTTCCACAGCTGTTTTTCTGGGGACAACCTATCAATTCAAGGTGGAGATAATGGCTGAGAATCTAGGATTGTCGTTAGGACCCTTTGAGTAAGTCTTGAATCATAAGGACCCTATCTAACACACAGCATTGTCTGGTCCTGTGGCATCCTCAGCATCTTTGAATGTTTGGGCAAGAGTGGTCCTTGATCTGGTTGCAGATATCTCTGTTGGTGCTGACTTTGCCAGTGTGATTTCTTTCTACAGGTACCACTCTCGACTGGTCAATTGGCCCCTGAAAGACACTGCTCCTCTGACTCGTTGCCGTTACATCCATGCTGACCCATAGTGGCCTCATAGGGCAGAGGAAACTGTACAGACTTAGAGCAGTAGAAAGATGTAGGTGGTTTGGAACTCTTCTCCTTGGAGTTAGCAACCCAAACACATAACACATCATAACATTTCTAGGACCCAGAAACCAGAATATGTTTTCATATTTATAGTAGATGGAAATGATTACATTGAAATGATTACAATGATTACAGTAGATTAAAAGGATTCCATATGCATGGCCTGTCTCCTTTTATTGCAGAATTGGCTTATGACTGTCAGTTACCTTAATTCTAAGTATTTTGAATGTAAGGTAGAACACAGCTTATTTTATTTATTTCAGACTGACAAAACAGAAGTGCTATGTATAAATGTCCTTCTTACAGGTTTCTGATAGGAATTCCTAAATTTCATGTACCGTCGACAGTAATGTGAGAATCTTCATCTACATGGCAGGAATCTAAATCTACTTGGACTTGGAACAAATTAGATTGAGATGGAATCAGATTTTTGGCTACATTCAAGTGTTTAATTCAACTTAACTTTTGGTGTTTAAAAATAATAATAATTGCAAAGCCCTGACTTATTTAAAAAAAAATTTTTGAAATTAAGAAAAACGTGACTTTTTGTTATTTTGTTCAAAAAGCATTATTCCCTTAAATATAGGACATTCTTCCTTAACAACAAATAACACAAACAGTATCTGACTGTGTACAGCAACAATACTGAATTGAAAACACTTTAATCACATACAAATGAAAGAATAAGTTATTATAAATTCTATTAAGTAAGGATGACTTTTTGTCAATATATTTCTTTTCTGTGTTTCTGTTTTCACCAAATATAAATTAATCAATAAATCACATTAGTGTAGAATAACTAATTTTTATGTTTATATTTTATTCATTTTGTCCTATGATAGACAAAACTTGTGAAATACACCTGTTACAAAATGCACAAAAGAAATAAGTAAAGAGAGTTTGAAAGGATTTCAAAATAGAATCCATTTATGTTTTCATATTTTGCAGCCAGAAAAAAAAATCTGCTGTAAGAATGCTATTTAAATGTATCTATTTATTCCCCAAAGTAGCGCAGGTGGTGTAGTGATTATGTGTTGTGCTGATGTCAACAGTTTGCTCCTACCAACCACTCTTGGGAAAAAGATGAGACTCTCCTCCCATAAACAGTTACAGGCTCAGAACCCCACAAGGGTGCTCTGTTCTGTCTATAGGGTCCTAAGGAATTAGATGCAACTCCTACCAGTGAGTTTGCTAATTTATTCCCTACTTTTATATTTAATTTTATATATAATTTTAAATAAAAATTCATATTCTTAATATAATATAATAATGAATTGAATGTAACACTAATTTAAGTGATGGGAAAAATATATAGGATAAATATGTACCAAAAAACCCACTGCTATCCAATAAATTTCTATTCATAGCATACATATAAATGTCTCCAGGATTGTAAGTCTTTATGGCAGCATATACCTTAGTCTAGCCTAGAGCACATTTAGGGCTCCACACAGGAAAGTCTAAAAGCAAAAAAAGAAAAACCATGAACACTTTCATAATAGAGAACAGAAAACCCCAACCCACTGCTATAGAGTTGATTCTGACTTATAATAGGACAGAGTGAAACTATGCCGCAGTCCTTCTGAGCTTCGAATCTGTAAGGAAGTTGACTGCCTCATCTTCCTGTCTTGGAGTGGCTGGTGTGTTTG